GATCAGAAGGACCGCTGTGAAGGCGCATTACTAGGACTTGGTATCTGCTGCCTTCAATTCATATGTATGGTATACAAAGGAGAGAAGCCGGAGAGTATCCAAGCCAGCGGAACCTGCCTGGAGACGGGTAAGGAGTTAACAGGATGAGGCATTCATGTAACTTCAGAGGCTGTGCCAAATCAGTGACATTATGTGAGATACTACTTTACACTCAAGTGAGTTAAGATTTTTATAATTGTGTGCAGATTCCTCCTGGGATGAATGTTGAAAAGAGAAGCTGCTTGCATTTAATTTTGACTTTTCACTGATCAATTTGTGAAGTATTGAAATAAGAAAATGTTAACTGATTTGATTTGTGAAATTCTAAAACTTACATTTTCCCCTGTTTAAATGTTTCAAAAGAACCAAACCATTTTTGGTAGGAGTTTGGTTTTAATAGGAAAAGTCGGATTGATGCATCTTCAGTTTGCACACAAACCTTGAGCTGTCTTTTTTTTTTTTTTTTCTGGCTTTGTTACAGAAAATAATTCCCTACTGTAGTTGCATATCTTTTACAACCTTTCTCTGCATTTAAAAGCTCTAAAATGCCAGAAAACTCATGTAAAGTCCTCTTTTTAAAGTAAAGAAAATGTAGATTGACCATCATAAAATAAATACATCAGGTCAGACTTAGAAAATAATTTCATACCTTACAAATCTGATATAAAAGAAATGTAATCTAATTAGAATGTTCCTGATAGGCCTTGTTGAAACTCTAAATTAGCTTACAACTCTTTATTTTCAGCTTTAGTGGCTGTATTTTAAGTTTTGGCATCTTTTCTCTACACTGTTATATATTCTCCTCCCTGTAGGAGTGGATGAGACTGTGGCTGTCATTCTTAGGTATTCTAAGAACAGAATGGCAATGTTCACCTGCTCTGCTGGGGTTGAGCTACACAGTGATGCCATTATTGTTGGGACAAAAGGCACAATCCAGGTAAGTTGCCAAGGATGGCATGACAACAATTCAAAAAGTACATTTGGTAGTTTCAGTGTTATGTAGAAGAAATTACAAGTGTCTTCAAGCACTGGTTTGACATTAATCCGATGCACATGCTCCAGGTCCTTTCTCCTATGTGGTGCCCCACCTCACTGGTTGTTAATAGGAAGGAGACCCAGCAGCTGGTACCTGAACCCTCCTTGTCTCTCAACTTTACCTACAGCACAGGGAAGCGTTGCGAAGTAGAGGAGGTCCGCCAGTGTCTGCTCAAGGGTATTGAGACATCAGTATTTTGCCTTCTGATTCAAGCACAATCTGTGTAACAATCTGTTACAAACATTATATAGCTGAGGCATTAAAGCCACTTCAGGAATATTCATGAAATATGGGATGCTTGGGATTCAATGCAGTGGGGGGGAAAAAATAGGAGGCATTAGCAAAGTTGTATAAGAACATAATTAAAGTTGAACAATTAACATTTTGTAAAACAGTTTAAAAGTCGACTGCATAAGCTCATCCCTGAACTTCTGTGGAGCATTTGTCTGTAGCAGCTGACTTGTCAGTGTTTCTCTTTGCAGGGCTGAAGGAGAGCCCAGTCATGTCCCATGCCTACACTCTGCTGCTGGCTGAAATGGGGGATGAGATCTGCCAGCAGGTGGGAGGGGTGTACAGCCAGGACTACCAGTAAAAGTTTGACTTATTCATGCTGTGATTAAATACAACCAGTTTACAATGGAGATTAACTTACTCTGTTTCTGTTCCTGACAATCATTTTGGAGGAACATGGCAACCAGGTGGGGAATTTGCAGCGTGGGGAAGATCAGTCATGACTTCACTGTGGCTCTGAAAACTCTTCCTGCTGAAGACCATCAGGTGAGTGCGCCTGTTGCAACAGGGATAAATCCCACGTGTGATTTAGATGAAACGCGCCTCTTTGTGTCATAGTAACATTCTTCCGGGTACTTAACTCCGTTGTACGTTTTATAAGATATATTTTTTATTTAAGCACACATGTTTTTGAAGCAGACGATGTCAATGATTTTGTAAAACATTTGCATTAACTGCCAAGTTGCCAAACTTTCTACCATATAGGACACATGTAGTTTCTGGAAAATGAGTGTGGGAGTAATGGAGAACTGGAAATTGACGATTAAATTGAACAGCCTCAGTCATGCAATTTACCAGTAAGGCAAATGTCACCTTTTTTCCCCAACTATGAAACGGTGAGTGAATAGGAATGATGCCCTCTGCTGGGTGACAAGTGAAAATGCCTAAAAACAGATTGCTTGTGCAGGATTTTTAATAAAGTGGAATGGATGCCTTTACCATATGAGAAAATAACGATTTACCTCTAAAGTATTTATAATTAATGTGCATCATCTGTGACTTCACAGGTTGTGGCTGTTGCAGCTCGTAAATTGGAGGACGCTCAGGAGTTTTCCAGAAAACACAACATCTCTAAGGCTTATGGCAGCTATGAGGAGCTGGCCAGAGATCCAGATGTAGGTCAGTGTCCTTCTGCCAGAGGCTTTTCAGTTTTTTTAATTTCAAAACTTTACAATAACTCCTGCTCTATATTAAATGTTTTCTTTTATCCAGTTTCAATTTTCTCAATATTTCATACTGTTCTGAAAAATCATTCAGTGTTATGTTTGACTGTGCAGATGTTGTGTATGTTGGAGTTGTCCACCCATGCCATCTGAACGCCTGTAAACTTTTCATAAATGCTAAAAAGAATGTTCTGTGTGAGAAGCCGCTGGCCATGAATGCTAAGGAAGTGGAAGAGATTCTGGACTCTGCCAAAAAGAATGACGTCTTCCTCATGGAGGTAAGCATGTAGCAAACCAGGAAGAAAAATATTATTTCTCTGTATACAATTTACTATTGCACACTTGAAGACCTTCAAAAGTTTTAAAACATGTTCTTTCCAGGTTGCGTGGACCCGTTTTTTCCCAGCCTCTGTGGAGATCAGAAAGCTGCTGGCTGAGGAGTACATAGGGGAGGTGAAGATGGTCCGTGCAGACTTTGGTGTGCCACTATTCCATGTGCCAAGATCAGATCAGAAGGACCTCGGTGGAGGAGCATTACTAGGTCTTGGCATCTCCTGCCTTCAATTTATAAGTATGGTGTACAACAGAGAGAAGCCAGAGAGTATCCAAGCCAGCGGGATCTGCCTGGAGACAGGTAAGGCGTTAACAGGATGAGGCATTCATGTAACCTTGGAGGCTGTGCCAACTCGGTGAGATACTACTTTACACTCAAGTGAGTTAAGATTTTTGTAGTTGTGTGCAGATTGTGTCCACCCTGTTAAATGTTTCAAAAGTAAGAACCAAACTATCATTTATGGTAGGAGTTTGGTTTTTTTAATAGGAAAATTCGGATTGATGCATCTTCAATTTTCACACAAACCTTGAGCTGTCTACAATGTTTTCTGGCTTTGTTGCAGTAAATAATTCCCTACTGTAGTTGCATATCTTTTACAACATTTCTCTGCACATAGAAGCTCTGAAATGCCAGAAAACTAATGTAAAGTCCTCTTAAAATAAAGAAAATGTAGATTAACAATCTCAAACTAAAATGAATAAGTTAATCAGGTCAGACTTAGAAAATGGATAATTTCATATCTTACAAATCTGATAAAAGAAATGTAATCTAATTAGAATGTTCACCTCCTGATGGACCTTGTTGAAACTCTAAATTGGCATACAACTCTATTTTCAGCATTTGTGGCTGTAGTGTTGGCATCTTTTCTCTACACTGTTGTATATTCTCCTCCCTGTAGGAGTGGATGAAAGTGTTGCTGTCATTCTTCAGTACTCAAAAAACAGAATGGCGATGTTCACCTGCTCTGCTGGGGTCCATCTGCATGGTGAAGCCTTTATTGCTGGGACAAACGGCATAATAGAGGCAAGTTACCAAGGATGGCATGGCAACAATTGAAAAAGTGTTTAGTTTGAGTGTTGTGTAGAAGAAATTGGAAGCGTCTTCAAACTCTGGTTTGACATTAATCTGATCCACATGCTCCAGGTCCTTTCTCCTATGTGGTGCCCCACAGCACTGGTTGTTAATGAGAAGGTGACCCAATATCCGGTACCTGAACCCCACTTGCCTCTCAACTTTACCTACAGCACAGGGATGCGTTACGAAGCAGAGGAGGTCCGCCAATGTCTGCTCAAGGGTAATGAGACATCAGCATTTTGCCTTCTGTAGGTCTGGTACAATTAGCTGCAGAACCTCTAAGATTGCAGAAGATGCTGTCACACTTGAATCTACTGTTTCTGTGTAATCGGAACCAGAGGTGAACAATTAACATTTTGTAAAACGAGGTTTAAAAGTGACCTGCATAAGCCTCTCCCATCTCTGAACTTCTGTGGAACATTTCTGTAGCAGCCAACTCGGTGTGTTTGTCTTTGCAGGGCGGAGGGAGAGTCCAGTCATGCCTCATGCTGACTCTCTGCTGCTGGCTGAAATGGGGGATGAGATCCGCCGGCAGGTGGGAGTGGTGTACAGCCAGGACTTCCAGTAAAAGTTCAACTTGTGCTGTGCTTTAATATGACCAGTTTACAATGGAGACTAACTTGCTCAAGAATGGTAAATTTCATGCAATTAAAAAGTTTGTATTTTTGTAGGAAAACAATGCTTGACCTCAAAGTTGGATTAACTTAACTTTTGAAATGTAAACCTCTCAACCACATGAGGTTGGGAAGCTGTTACCTTTTCCTATTTACATGTTGTACACCAGCTTTGTATACAGATGCATTGAAACTTGCTGAGCAGTCAACAATGAAAAGTAAAATCTTTGACAATCTGTCTAATGTTACAGCAAATTTCTGAAAAATAAAGCAAATCCATTTCTTTAAAGTAAGTTTGTTCAGCAATATGTGTGTATATATTAGGAGTTAATCTCCTTGAATGTGTTAATTTTTGTGTAAAAGTGGATTAGACTTTTTAGCTTTTCTTTTATATGAATTATATTGGCAGCAAGTTATTTCTGGAAAATTGCAGTTGTCTTTGAATTGGTAATTAAGAGAAAATATAAATAAACCAACCTGGTCTTGAGCTTAAAAAATCATGCCACAGGTGGTTGCAGAACATGACAATGAGTCTTTACATCACTAGGCTTTGCAGAGTTAAACATATGGCTCTCAAAGGGACCTGCACAGAGCGGCTCACAGGCTCCCATTTCTGCTTCCTCTGTTTCCCTCAATCTTTTTTTTTTTTTTTTTTTTAAAAGCTGGGGGCGATAGGGAGGGGATGAAATCCAGTGTATACAATTCAAGATGTTGTAGCACTGACAAAATGATTCATTATGCCTTGCTTCACACTTCCCTCTCCCCCTCCCAGGATTTTCAAAATGACTGGCACCTCCTTGTGCTGGTTTCAGTCAGTCACCCTGCCTTTGCAGTGACCTTGAGATGGAAATGAAGGCAGGATGTCGCTCCTGTAACTGCTGCAATACAGTTTCTCTCCCATTTGATTAACACCCACAGAGCAAAATGTATCTCATTTACAATGACAGCCAGGAGGGTGGAAAACACCCTGTTCATAACTCCTTTATGTTCTGTTTCATTAAAAATATAGTACAATTTTCCATTGTTACTGAGGTACATGACAATTGCTAATGACAGAATGTTTCTGGCACCAAGATGCTCAGATTAAGTGATGACACTAAACTGTCTATTGTGATCAACCACTTCTGATGGCAAAAAGATCCACACCGCCTGTGAAGAAACTTGAGACTGACCATGTGATCCAGAAGGAACGCCATTCTTCCAAGTCTCGGTGGAATAAAGACGCAGACCCAGAAATAAATTAATCAATACATAAATGTGAAGCTGTAAAAGTGGAAGGCAATCGTACTGTCTGGGCTGAATTAATGAGGTGCTTCCTTCCATCCACATCTCAAGGTTTTTAAAGCTCATCAGCCATCTTTACCGTCCACTAATATCCTC